AAGCAACTCATCAATTATCCTTTTTGCTGTACCTTTATGAGATCATTATGTGTTGCTGAATTGATGCATTTTAATGTGTAGGATCCTGATTTGGTTGTTGATCCAATCATTAATAACAGTACTTCTCAGCAGTCAAGGCCATCAGTGCCACCATCACAATCTTCATCGGCTTCTACGCAGAATAATCATTCCCACTCACAGGATTCTGGTTTAAAATCTTAGATTTCCCCTTTTATTTTTACAAGATCAGAATAAATGTTGCTTTGCTTTATGCTTTCTTTTTCTGGTTAGATCTGCTTTCTACTTGAACTGCTTGAATTCATGTTAGGTTCTACGGGTAGGACATCAGGGGCGTCCACAGCTCACCCTCCGAATTCTATGTCATTGCGTTGGGATCAGCAAACCATTCAATTTTCTCTCAATGCTTGGGTATGCTAAATTCTGTTTTGTTATTGGGATTGATGCATGCAAAAGTATTTTGGGGAAGATAGTCCAACAGAAATCGTGTCGTCAAGATCTATCTAGCTGTAAATATCTTTGGATTTCCTCCATCAAGCAATTACTATTGTTAGCTCGTTCCACAACATTACCTATATCAGATATCAATGACATGTTGTGTGATACAGGTTGCGACTAATATCTTTCTTTCTTGGCCATGTATTTGATGTTTATTGGTTAATTTGTGCACCTGTAGCTGAGGTGTCTCCAGATTTTTTGCTCAACATGAACATTCTTAGAATATGCACCAAAACTTATATTCTATTTTTAATTTGATTAGTTTTATTCATCCGGCTTGGGATGATTCATAATCCTCTATATGAGGGGAATTTTGGTTGGTGTTTATATTTGGCTGTTCAAAAAAACTGCTAAGCTTGCTGAGCATTTTTCTAATCATCGCTTCCTTCAGAATGTACGGGGATCCCATAATTGCCTCACAGCTTCTTCATTCCAGGTTGAATGGTATTTGAGAGAGATCTAGAGTCATGGAATCGACGTTGCTTGCATCTTTATTGTTGAGGAGTGCTGAGTGTGCCTGTTTGTTTGAATTCGAAATTAAACATGAGACTGGTATTGTTCATTTGTGGTTGAGTTAGGAAAGCTTGCGACCCTTGCTTCTTTTGTTGGAAGTTACAACTCTATTATTTTTAAATTTCTTTTCTCCTTTTGGGTCTAGGAAATGTGGCTTTTGCTGAGCTGGTGTGATTTACCGCTGCTTAGTAGCTTTTTTTTTTTTT